TCAATCTTGTCAATATAATTATTGTGTGAGTATAAATGACATAGGTAAATTGCAACCACAAAATAATGACCTCATTAGCCATATGGTTATATATACAGTTGCTGTATTCCAGGTCTGTCAATAGATTACATGTATGATGATTGGAACCTGTAAGCAGCCAGCTACCATACAAGGGCATGGTGAACTGCCTGCAGCATGCTGGAGGTTAATGAATCACTGTCAGTTTGCCATATGTTATGGAGATATATCACACGTCTGCACAGGACACTAGCTGGTGTAAGCTGATAATTAAGCATGTTGATGACTTCAAAAACTCCCGCGTCACTTCTAAGCAAACTGTCTGTCGATCATAAAACGGTTTTGCTTACACTCATATGTGAATAACTGGCAGTTACATTCAAAATATTTTGACAGGTAAAGTGAATTTATATTTTCAGAGAGCAAAAATTCTTATTTCCGGTATATGTATTGAGATATATATGTTATGAGTTTACACACATTCATATTTTAAATAAACAGATACAGGTGTTAAATACCGATGCATATTAGTCTTCATTTAGTCTTTAATAACATTTATGTCCATGATGTATTCAAGATGCAAATATTTGACTTGTACATATATATATCACTTCCCTGTATCATGCCTACCTGTCTAAGCTAAAATTGTCAGTGTAGATATAAACGTTACTTACATGAGTCTCCCCCTAAAATATGAAAACACAAATTATGAAAAATATTAAAACAAAGCATAATTATCTCCAGCTTACGGATGTTAACTAGCTGTATGGAAAGTTGTACTAACAGCATCAGTATGATTGCAAATGCAAGTGACCAATCAGAAGATGTATGTGTGAACACTATACTTGCATATCATCCTGGGTACTGCAGTGAGGTATACATATCCATATACAATGATTGGTATGATACTAACAAGCAGTTGTAAAAGCATCTATGATCACAACAGGCTAAACACTGTTCACTGTTTCATGTGATGAGGAGGTCCAAAGGGGCTGCTTTTTCAAAGATAAATAATTCTTTTCAAACCATTTTGAAAAAAGGCAAATGCATGTTTGTCATACATGGTTCCTGAATGAATATATAGAGATATTATCTATGTATGTTCATTTGAACAGAATATTCAATAATATGTGAAATCTCAAGCTTTCAGGCTCCAGGCCTTCATCAGGTACACTGTTCTTTACTAGAGATGCTTGTTTGACCATTGCTAATAAACTGAATTAATCCTTGACATACGTGATGAAGGCTGGGAGATCGAAAGCTCAGGATTACATAGATGAACTCCACTATTTGAATGAAAACAAAAAAAGAAATTACTCAATGATGAACTTTGGACTCTAAATATAGTGGACCAATGGTGACCAACCATGCTCTTCATGCAATACACGTAGTATATAGCAGCTTCAGTAGTTTACTAAGCACAATCTGTCTGTGAATCAAACTGTCAAATACCATGGGTGCAATTGCATTATTGACAGATAGAGAGAGGTGCAATCTATTATGTGCTGTTGTTCTGCATCATTACCAAAGCCTATAACCTTGTCGGGGTAGTGAGAGCAAGAAATGCTGAACGATCTGTTAGTTCTCCATCTTTGTTGTGGTAGAAGCTGTGTTTCATGCACCAGCATATGGCTTCAGTTTGTATGGTAAACACATTCATTTCACTTGGAGACAGAAGCATCGTTACTGGGACATTTTCCATGACTTCAGTGTTCCTGAAAATTGTTTCATTATCTGATATCTAATATATATAATTGACTGTATCTTTCCAAGTTGAAATGATATTATTGCAAACAATTAATCGAAAGAGCATGTTGACTTATCTTAGTTTATTTTTACCTGAAAAGAAAATTCATGTAAATACTAATCTATTATTTCTGATTCCATTTACTTAAGCTAAAATTTGACACATTGCAGGAAACTCATCTGTGAGATATTTCACACTACTCAGGCTGGTAATGTGATCAGATAATTTGACAACTGAAACAAAAATATTATTAACAATTCCCCATATGAAACAAAAGTATTAGTGCAGTTTTATAACACAAAGTTATGAAACATATTCATCCTTATGGTAAGTGATTCCATTATCCTTTTTTACACTCTTACCAATCTGATATAATCAAACCTAGGACATTATGAAATAATATCTTGCTCAAAAAGCTCCATAATGTTTAATATCCTCCACTAACCAGAGGTATATACGAGTTGTAACGCCATGGAGATAGCCAGGTTAGCTGTCCCGATGCAGGCTCCTCACTATACCTTGGTGCTACCATTTATGGCTGATCCGTTCAGCAGACAACACGAGCTGAGTAAGCATGCAGGTATTCTGTTACTGTAGACAGAGCCCTTGGATTAGGTGTACCGTGTGATAAGAGTTTATATCTCCCGACTACATGTTAGTTAACATGACCACAGGGGTTACCATAAACTATAAGTTAAACAATGTCACTCAACTCAGAGATCAGAGTGACCTGGGATGATATTCACGTAACATTCTTCAGTATGATTATTTTGACAGCTATGTGGTATGTTGCGTCATTGTCATCAAATATTTCTGACTTGAATCAAACCTCTTGTATCAAGGTTCAGTGCTACAGATTTCCAGGGCCTGAGGTCACTGAACCTTCATGTAAATATGGTAACTCTTTTTCTTAGTGACATATCTATATTTCATATACCTGCCACATCAATTTCTCAGGTAATAGATCATTTGACCCATTCAGTATGTATATCAATTTGAAACCCTGAAAACTCAAAGTATTTATTAAGATCTAATGCATGAAATATCTACATTTCGTAACTACTCTCACAAAGAACAACAAACCCACTGAGAGACCTAGCACACCAATAGTACTATCACTGCTGAAAACAGAGAAATGCACTGATCAGGAAGGATTCTATGACACAGGGAACATATTGTTGACTTGAATGAGGGGAGCTAAAAGGCACTGGGCAGGGTGTCATGAAACATTCCTTCAGCATTACACAGGGTATTTAGACCAAGATGACAGAGGTATGGGATAAGGACTATAATACACTGCGAGTTAGACTAACAGCTAGTCTCTGAAATGAACATATTTTACAGAAAAAAAAGCTCTTAGTAAAAACATAAAATATAATGAAAAGGAGCCCTGAGACTTTCTTCATTTTCAGAAGCTGTGGAAATCTAGACTTGCCACATTTTCTAGACTTGTGTGGGCTTTCTTGGATATATTTTCTTCAGGGTCTGTATGACGGACTAACTGTGAGTAGACACCATGAAGGTTCTGGACAGGGTCTCTACCTGCCAGTATAATCCATACTTAACTATAACATTGGACATATAGGTTGAGTTGATGGAGATGGGAGACATGGTAAGGCTTGACACAGTAAGCCCCAATGGATGTCATACTTCAGTGTAAACCATTCATACTGACTGAGTTTGGTTTTACGCCGCTTTTAGCAATATTCCAGCAACATTACGGCGGGGGACACCAGAAATGGGCTTCACACATTGTACCCATGTGGGGATTTGAACCCGGGTCTTCGGCGTGACGAGTCAACGCTTTAACCACTAGGCTACCCCACCGCCCGTAAACCATTCACAGCTATAACTGACTGACTGACTGAGTTTAGTTTTACGCCGCTTTTAGCAATATTCCAGCAATATCACGGCGGGGGACACCAGAAATGGGCTTAACACATTGTGCCCATGTGGGGAATCGAACCCGGGTCTTCGGCGTGACGAGCCAACGCTTTAACCACTAGGCTACCCCACCGCCCCCACAGCTATAACATAGGTGCATTTAGTCAGAGCTGACAATGAAGTGCAGATGGATGCTGTAAGGCCCACCACACACAGTTAGAGCCAATGGATGCCATACTCAGTATAAACCATTCCTAGCTATAACACAGGAACATTTAGGTTGAGTTGGTGGATAAGTGAAGATAGATAGATATGGCAAGGCCCTTCACACACAGTGAGCATCAAGGATATCACACTTTGGTATAAACTACCATCGGCACTAGAACAGGGGTATTCAAGGTTGTTGGACATGAAGGTATGTAGACATATGATGTACCTTCTAAGCATTACTAATAGACACTGAGGACTGTAACCTAAATGTTTCTCCCAACATAAAATGACAGTTGTCAAGTGTTCTCCTTAAGAAAGAATATTTCCTTATGTTACAGCAAAATGTTTCCGATTTTCAATTGTTGCACATGTATTGTTTTCCTGTCTCTCTAGTGGTATGTCCTACATTGTTACACTTCTTGAACAAGTCCTGTTCAGCTGGCATCAGCTCAATACCTGATTACATGGCACACTCCTGTAATTTATAAATGGTTACCAATAAAGGCTTTAGAACTGCCAAGTCTACACTATCGTCACTGCAGATGCTTCATAATGTTCCAAGATTTGCAACAAAAATTCCAAATTCCTCTGACACGATGCCAAGTTCTGACTGTGAATTGTTTACACTTATTTCCTCCCCAAATCAAACCCAGAACTATCTAACAAGCTTGAGTCATAGAGAGGGCAAGATATTTTCATTATTCCACATGGCCTGTTTACTTTAAGAAGGAGATAACTGATGCTAAAGTTATGACAGAGTACAGACACCTTAAATGCATCATTTATCAAAGTATTGCTTATACTCACAGGCGGAACCAAAATAACAACAATTTGAAATTATTAGCAAAGAGGATTGAATTGTGCTTTTGTTGAAACCAAACTGTCAAATTTGATGTTTCCTAACTATAATTATTTGCTATGTAACTTCTATTTCTAGACTGTCTTTTTAGATTGGGAGAAACATGGTTGCTATACAGTTGGCAGCAGAGTGGCAACAGGTGCTTGTCCTGATGACTCTGAGCGCTACATGTTCTATGGTATTCCTGTATCACAGCACATAATGCTACTGTATTCTCCACACAGGGCAGCAGTATTCACTTGTTAAGAGAAGGGACTGTCTGGGTCTGCAAGTTTTACTCACTGGTTTTGCGATCCGGATAGACTGAAAAGTGCAAATGCAAAACAAAACCGAAATGAAACGAATTTGAAAATTAATACAGAAGTGCTGCCTGAAAATAAACAGGAAAGAAACAGAATTCACTACAGAAAGAGTGAAACAAAAACATAAGAATGTCAGGGCTTTATTTCCATGAAGTGTTACAATGTGTTACAAATCTTTCACCTGTGTCATGAAGACCTAGATTAATGTTTAGAGGATGAAACTGAGCTTAAAGCAAAAATTTTCGGCAAAAGCAAAACAGTAATACACTATACAAGATTACCCCTAACTGAGTTATCTCCCCTTTGGTTCCCATTCAATAATATATAATTATATGCAAGCAACAGTTTTGTTATACTTCCACATGATGGGAATCAGAAGCTGTACAAAAAAACAATGGCTAAAGGTGTTTGTCAAGGTGATGAGAATTTGGCAATTCATTGCTTCAAAGATAAACATGACTTTCAAATGGTATTTACCAATGTAATGTTTTTAACAGGAAACTCCCTCATTACAACTGAGAGCTCAAATACTGTGACCAAACTAATTTGAACAGATTTTAAATTCCCGTTTCGACTTGGAAGTAATATTTTGACAGCTTCACTCAAAAGTTAATTTTTGCTTGTGCTTAAAAACATAAATTTGCACTTGAAAACATATATAAACTGGAATGTTTACCCTGGACTTCGGGCAGTGTGAAAGCATGTGGCCCTGTGGAAATATATGTCTATACTTCACACAATGAACTTCCTAACCTAACATCAACTGAGAATGCCTGTCTGAAATTTTCATCCATTAATTTCACTAGATGTTATAGATCCAAGTGTAGATTCTTCATTTTCTGATATCCAAATGGTCATATTTCAAGTAGATTTGAGTAATTGTGGACGCTTACCAACAGCCCACTTCATGTGAATCTACAGAATGCCAAACACAGTGTAACACGTAGCCTTTGACATTCAAAACTGTGAACTTGCCCTCTCAACAGAATTAAGACCCAGCCTGAAAGACAGTCTGTTCATCTGTGATGAGATGTTTAAAGTTCGACCTACAAGCCTATACAGATCACCGATGTTATTTCCAACATCACACAGTTTTAGGGTCAGACCTAGGTGTTTCAAGGTGACACCTCTCTGTGAAGTCTGCTCACAGTTTACTTACATACAGACTGGAAGACAGGTGTGAGGAGGCCTAGACTTAGCACATGCAGGCGAAAACGTGATGTAACTTAAGTTAATGTACCCGGTACTCAGTCTTGGGCAACTGTTTACAAACTCTTCTACTACAAAATATTTGGTATATATAACTGGAGCTTTTGCTATTTTGCTCACCAATCCAAGTATGAATGCGCATGTTTTTTAAGCCACTTTAACAATATTACAGCAACATCACGAAAAAAACCCGAAAAAAACCCAAACCTCATGGGGGCGGTGGGGTAGCCTAATGGTTAAAGCGTTGGCTTGTCACGTCCAAGGCCAGGGTTCGAATCCCCATATGGGAACAATGTGTGAAGCCCATTTCTGATGTCCCCCGCCGTGATGTTGCTGGAATATTGCTAAAAGTGGCGTAAAACCAAACTCAGTCAGTCAGCCCAACATCATGGCAGGGGCTTCACACATTGTACCCATGTGGAGAGTGAACACTGTACCCACTGGGCCACCCAACACCCCTTCACCAATCCTAAGAAACTAAATTAACCTTTTTCTCCCTAAGTCAAGGGCAATGCAAATATGTGAATAAAATAGATATGTAAATAAAGCTCTCCACTGACAGTGCCAAAAATGAACATACATATGCACAGACTAAGACAAACATAATCCATACTGCATTTGGTAATGCCATATTAGTATGCATCAACAATTTAGCTCTATCGTGCTGTGCTTGACTATAACATGCTGAGAGTGCAACCAGTGTGCAGTTTTTGAACCAGCATGGCCAATCTCCCCAATCTTCACTGTGCATTTCTGATTTATTATTAACTGAGTTAGATTTACACTCAGTGTGACCTTGACTTGCTATATCTGGCTGTATTTAGGTCTAATGTTATACAATTTATAATATCAGTGCCCACTATCCATCTTGTATTTAAGTCATGCAATATTAAAGACCACATCCTGATACAGGTCCACAAAGTGCATCTACAATACCACACTTTAGAATTGGCAGTAAAACAAAAATATTCCTTGATCATATTTTTAAAAAAATTACGATCCCACCACAATACATAAAACACATCTGGGTAAAAAATGAACACAGTTCTTTAATACAATGTCAGAGTCAAAACTTTGAGTTCATAGAGCTCTGGAAATTTAAAATCTATTTTGTTTGTTTGTAGTAACTATGGCTGATGAGCTGGGTTTAAAGTGATGCGGCAATGCCTGAGAGACATTTCCTTTTTTGTCAGCAGTTGTTTATGCTGAGCAAGTGCTGCTTCTTGATTGTTTAGTCACATCACAGAAAGGAACAAAGATTTGGAACTTGGGTCATTGTCATGTTCTAAGGCCTTTACAATACACCATCACATTGCCCCTTCAACATTCGTCTACATTTGTGTGCATATCCATTAAATAATGAATGCACTATGTCAATCTATGTCCTGGTCCAAACTTATACTGTTAATAGGCTTCTATATGCATTGTGTCAATCTGTGTCCTAGTCAGCCTTTGCTGTTAGACAGGAAGGCTATATAAGGCATTGTCTCAATCTACGTGCTAGTCACAACCTATGTTGACGGAAAAGAACGCTATATAAGCATTATGTCAGTCTATATACTAGTACTAGTCACAACCAATGCTGCTAAATAGCAAGTCTCTATATAAATTGTCTGAGTCTGTCATAGTCAGCCTATGCTGTTGAATAGCAGGTCTCTATATGCATTGTGTCAATCATGTCCTAGTCAGCCTATGCTGTTGAACAGCAGGTCTCTATATGCATTGTGTCAATCATGTCCTAGTCAGCCTTTGCTGTTGAACAGCAGGTCTCTATATGCATTGTGTCAATCATGTCCTAGTCAGCCTATGCTGTTGAATAGCAGGTCTCTATATGCATTGTGTCAATCATGTCCTAGTCAGCCTATGCTGTTGAACAGCAGGTCTCTATATGCATTGTGTCAATCATGTCCTAGTCAGCCTATGCTGTTGAATAGCAGGTCTCTATATGCATTGTGTCAATCATGTCCTAGTCAGCCTATGCTGTTGAATAGCAGGTCTCTATATGCATTGTGTCAATCATGTCCTAGTCAGCCTATGCTGTTGAATAGCAGGTCTCTATATGCATTGTGTCAATCATGTCCTAGTCTCTAGCCTATGCTGTTGAATAGCAGGTCTCTAAATGCATTGTGTCAATCATGTCCTAGTCAGCCTATGCTGTTGAACAGCAGGTCTCTAAATGCATTGTGTCAATCATGTCCTAGTCAGCCTATGCTGTTGAATAGCAGGTCTCTATATGCATTGTGTCAATCATGTCCTAGTCAGCCTATGCTGTTGAATAGCAGGTCTCTATATGCATTGTGTCAATCATGTCCTAGTCAGCCTATGCTGTTGAACAGCAGGTCTCTATATGCATTGTGTCAATCATGTCCTAGTCAGCCTATGCTGTTGAACAGCAGGTCTCTATAATGCATTGTGTCAATCATGTCCTAGTCAGCCTATGCTGTTGAACAGCATTGTCTCTAGTCAGCCTATGCTGTTGAATAGCATCTCTATGTGCATTGTGTCAATCATGTCCTAGTCAGCCTATGCTGTTGAATAGCAGGTCTCTATATGCATTGTGTCAATCATGTCCTAGTCAGCCTATGCTGTTGAACAGCAGGTCTCTATATGCATTGTGTCAATCATGTCCTAGTCAGCCTATGCTGTCTCTATAGCATTGTGTCAATCATGTCCTATCAGCCTATGCTGTTGAATAGCAGTCTCTATATGCATTGTGTCAATCATGTCCTAGTCAGCCTATGCTGTTGAACAGCAGGTCTCTATATGCATTGTGTCAATCATGTCCTAGTCAGCCTATGCTGTTGAACAGCTGTTGAGGTCTCTATATGCATTGTGTCAATCATGTCCTAGTCAGCCTATGCTGTTGAACAGCAGGTCTCTATATGCATTGTGTCAATCATGTCCTAGTCAGCCCATGCTGTTGAACAGCAGGTCTCTAAATGCATTGTGTCAATCATGTCCTAGTCAGCCTATGCTGTTGAACAGCGGGTCTCTATATGCATTGTGTCAATCATGTCCTAGTCAGTAGTGGTGTTCCGATTAATTGAAATAATCGAAGACTGATCGCAGTGACCAAACAACCAAGCAATCGATCACATTTTCTCATAATTGAACATAAACGATTTTGGAACTACTGTTTTAGTCTTTGAAATACTTGACAATGTAACATATCGTTGAAGTTGTCAGGGCATGAAAACGTGTTTATTTCTTAGAAAACTCACTTCACTAACTGAAAAGCCATGACTGAATATTTCTTGAAGACTTTGGAAGGGAAGTTTATGTTCATGATATATTAGTCATCACTTTAAAGTAGCAAGTTGCATCATGTTATAAATATCTGCAATAACAAGCCGGATAGGAAAATCTGAAAAATGACGCTAACCAATTTTTTTCGATGATTGTTCGTTGGTAATGAAACAATCATCAATTGTGAGATTTCAACCAATTCCCAACACTGCTAGTCAGCCTATGCTGTTGAATAAAAAGCATCAAAATGCATTGTGTCAATAGTGCCACAATCTATGATGCTGAATATGAAGCCTTTAAATGAATTGTCTAATTCTATTCCCTTATCACAACCAATGCTGTTGAATAGGAAGCTTCAACATGCATTGTTTCAATCTACATCCTGTGCAGCTGTATAGCAAGTCATGATACCGATACCATTGATCTATCTTCAAGTTCTACTTCATTTGACAAATATATAGGCCCATCTGTTATGAGCTGAGTGTTGCCTACCTTGTAGTCGGGACCGATGGGCTTGCTGCACTCAACACAGTTGTGTGCGAAGAGCTGCTGGTAGCAAGGGATGCAGTATGGGTGCTCCTCCTTGAGGATGTAGCGGCAGGCCACTAGCTGCTTGTCACAGTTCCAGCAGGCCAGGTGGTCAGTGTGGTAGTTCTGATCCATGGCTTTGGTGTATTCACCAGAAAATATCAACTGAAAAATAACAACATTTGGTTATTCTTTTGATATCAACAATGTCATCAAAGTTTCCTGGATAAGACTTGCATATTACAGTTACTGGTCCACCCAGTCAGCTGTTGCTTTATAAATATTTTGTTAAACCTTTGAAAACATCAAGTTCTCAATAAACACATTCTGGTTATCCATAATACAAAGGGAACAATACTTCCAGGGTTACATGGATCTAATTCTCCTTTCCATGCAGATTCTTTCTACTTCATGATGTCTTAAGCCTTAATGCCTCTCTGACATCTATTTCAATACTGTGTACTGTACTGCAAGGCACTGATGTTTGTCACACCATGCTGCACAAGTCCCTGTTCCTGACATTGTCACCAATACAGTTGTATTTGTAGCCTTCTATGGCTGCATATGCATCATGGCGGTAAATGAAACAAATCTGTTAACCTCTTTCTTCACAATGTGACACTTACAACTGCTTGCAGAGACCATATATCGGTATATGGTTTCTGGTGGTACTGTAGAAACTGGCACAACTGTTCAGACAAAATCAGACCATCAGTACAAAACACTCCTGTGTGATTCAGTAAACTTGTAAATGTCCTCCAGTATATCAAATTGGACTCACTGTTAAGGTTTGCTGTAAACACTGACAAAATAGTTGCTCTCCATGATAACCATGTCTTAAACAACGTTCACAGGTGGCCCAGTTGACATATTTTGATGTCCATCAGGCACTTATGTCTGTGGGTTCAAACCCTGACGCAACCTAGGTTTCTATCTGCTAGCACGATACTCATGCTCACAGACTTCGCCAAGGTGGTAAGCATCTGAACACTTCATCACTTTGAGCTTTACTCCAACACAAAGCTTATATGCTGAGACAAAGCTGGAATACTGTTAATCCCAATTCTCTCCCTCCTGAATACAATTCCAATCCACCAAGACTGGACACTTCACATCATGAACACCACTGCATGACTCCATTTAGACTGAACGCCCAGCCTTTGATCTAACACTCGATATATCACTTCATGCACATCATATTGGATATAATCCACCATGTGCCCCTCTGAGAGATTAGGGAAATGTCAGCTCCATGATCATAAAATGTTCCGATTACATAATGCAGAGGCAAATCAATCCTTAGATGGGATGTATTGATTCAGTGCCTAGCAACTGTTCCCTTATCGCCCACATGGTGTGATATTTATGATATTGCATGTTTGTGGAAAATATAAGAAAAATATCTCACCAGTTTTTAAAGGCACACTTTGGCAAGCAATGTATATATGAATATATATTGAATCAATACACATATTTATTACCTACGAGGGCGAAAATATCCGGGTTCATATTTTTCATACGATGCCCTGGGGCAAAATATCACTTTGTCATGGTGACGTGACGTCATGAACAAAGCTTTGACGTCACGTTTCTTCTATGACGTTGCGTTCTACATGCGGCGACAGCGGGTTGCCAGCCTATGTTTGAAAGCAGATTTGGGTTTATTTTCCTCAATTGACGATTTCGGTAATAAATAGAATATCATATTTGTGCCCATATCATACTATGTTTACGACACTCGTGCCTAAATATCAGTATATGCCTCGCTCTCGCTCGGGAAATACCAACATTTAGCCCTCGTGTAGTAAACATAGTATGACATGGGCTCTCATTTAATATCCTCTATATATACACCACCAGCTAATGGCTCTCTTTGGTGAGTAATGTCGTATATGTTGTTCATAAAGGCATTCTTTGTACACTACCAAATAACCTCCATCCCTTTTGTAATTGGATAAGTGATATTTTTTCCTTTCATTTTTCACCTAAGCAGAGTTTGGTCACAGTGGAATTTATCAGCCTCGATTCACTTGGAAAACACTCATACTTAAACATAAAACTTATAGAAGTGCAACAACTATCACTTTACCAATATGCTTGACATAAGATTTATCACAAATATACTACTCTTTTATATCTGTGGGTATGTAAAACTACTAATTTTGGTGTCATTCGAAAGAGCTAATCAGTTCCAGTTGCAGTTATGTATTATTTGACACCTGATGCAGGATATTATAGCCATATGTTTTTAACTGGACCAATATTGACACAAAATTAGCTATTCACATGTCACAACAATCAGCTCCTAATTACACGGCACTTACAAGAAGCTTGGTGTACTATAGACCAATTCTGCGACCTATAATAATTTTGTTTGTATGCTATGCCTAAGTGATATACTAACACAGAGCCCTCTTCATCTTCCACAGAGAGGTGTCTTATTAACCTTGATATCAAGTACACATAAACAACACAAATCCATGATATCAGAATCCCAAACACTGAAACAGATACAGGAGCTGATCACTAAATCTTGCCTCCATGGATCATGCTGTTATCTATAGGGATTAACATACTTCTTACATTAGATGCAGGACCTCCTACACACTCTGGCCTCTAATTGATGCTGGGGGATACGCCCCATCCCAAAAAAGAAACCAGCCTCTTTCAGATGCTGGGTGAGTGATAGTAACTGTGCCAGCAGTAAACAGAATATGTGCCAGCATTAACACGTTGACTGCCTTTCACGAGTACACTCGTAGTATCAATTCTGGTCGAATTTGCCACTACAAGTTATCTCGCAGTCACAAAGAACACCATGAGACGTTTCTTTCTTGTGCCTATTTTGCCAACATATGAAACTTGTTTCAAAATACCATTGATGTAGCTACGAGATAACTGGAAGTGGCAAATTCAGCCAGACATTGATACTACGAGTAAATGCGGGTGGCAGTCAATGTGTTAAACAGGAGTGGCAGTCAGCGTGTTAAACAGAGAACATGCTGCAACCCTGTTAAGCCTTTAATAGATGCCAGGTCAGCCATAAAACAGCCCCAACATTGTAAATGTAACACTGTCAAGCCTTTAATAGATGCCAGGTCAGCCATAAAACAGCCCCAACATTGGAAATGTAACACTGTCAAGCCTTTAATAGATGCCAGGTCAGCCATAACACAGCCCCAACATTGTAAATGTAACACTGTCAAGAGAATCAATCCATAACTGCAAGAAGTAACTGTAGAAGATTGTTTCTGATCTGTAAGACACATCAGGTGAAGGGAATGCTGATGAAACATATGAAAATGGGCCTTCATAACTTGTGTGACTCACAACAGAAGATCAATGAGTACTGACTCTTCTGTGCAGCACGGTTTGCTTGTGTAATGTCAGAAGCAGAAATATTTCCAGCTGTATGAATAATAATCAAACAAGGACCACATCCAGTGATTAACATCATGAGCACCAATCGACTCACATGAAATGTCATGGCATGTATCAAGCAAGTCAGCAAGTTTGACTGATCCTGTTGGTCACTTCTTACAACAAGCATGGGTTGCTGATGACCAATTCAGACCTAGTGCCTTAGGTAGGCAGACCAGGCTGATTACAGTGGGTCTCATCCATGCACATACCTCATGCTAACACTCCTTAAGTGAGCTTTGGAACTTAGAGTGTGTTCAGGTTCCTGGAAAAGGTTGGTTGGGTAGTTTGTTGTTTAACACCACACTCAGCAATATTCTAACTATATGGCATTCGTCTGTAAATAATCACGTCTGGACAAGACAATCCAATAATCAACAGCATGAGCATCAATCTACTATATTGGGATACAATGACATGTGTCAACCAAGTCAGCGAGCCTGACCACCCGATCCCTGTTGTCGCCTCTTACGACAAGAATGGGTTACTGAAGACCAATTCTAACCCGCATCTTCACAGGTTTCTGGAAAAGGTGGAATATAGCACTAAAGTGGGCCTGATACATGCACACATGTCAGCACTCTGTCCCTTAGATCATGGGTGTCTACAGTGTGTACTATTGCCTGGAGATGACAGTCCAGGGCCAATAATGTTGGCTTCATGCTCCTCAGGTTAGCTCTCTGTTGGAACTTGCAGAATGTTATAGTGCTTGGGGTAGGCAGTGGTGCCATGGTCGATATGAGTAGAACTCTTGACCACAGCAATGACAACTCACCGAATGTCCATGTGAAATTTCCAGTGTTTGAATATTAAAACTGGTGCTAAAGAAAATATGATGTGGAACAGAGAGATGTTTGTTTTCATATTTAAGTATTCCAGCTATCCAAAGTGATATAATGTCAGCAAAGACCACTTGCATCATTTGCATTTAATTAACTCTTGCATTAATGTCACGAATTACAGAACATCCTTTCAGCCAACTGCCTTTCTACACATCGCTTTGACTGGCTCTTTGTCACCCATGCCATATTAGGGATGCATCGTGGGGACTATAGTCAATAATTGCATAGATTAGACTTATTATTTGTAATAATGATATACCGGTATACCAGTGCGTCAAAATAAGACTAAGTACAATGAAATGAACACAAACAATACAGAAATTCTCCAGAACATTACAGAACACTAAATAACATAGAGAGAAATACAAATAGTCATTAACCACACAACTTCAAATAACATGATACCACACTTGAGTAGTGAGTTATGTTTTACATCACTTTTAGCAATATTTGAGCAATATCATTGCGGGGGACACCAGAAATGGAATTCACACATTGTGACCATGTGGAGAATCAAACCTGGGTCTTCGGCATGATGCGCGAATGCTTTAACCATAAGGTTACCCCACCACACTTGAGGTAGCAAAAAACTACTAACAGCTTGTTTCTCTGACTGTAATGAATTCGGTTCAGAAAAAGACGATCCTAAAAAATCACAAGGTGCTAAATGTAAGCAAAAAATGCTGACATGGTTTCCTTAGGGTATGTACCCCTGACATTTAAGCATGTCAGAAAAAGAAAAACTTCATCCTGTTTATAACAAAGTTTACCTTCTAATCCTCTGTAAGGTGTCAGATATTTGAAAGAAATGACAGCCAAACCTGAATCCAGCCTTAGCTGAAGCTACTGATGTCCAGTACGATCCAGACACAGGGTTATAATGATCTAGCACCATCTGATGAA